TACAACTGGACAGGGAAAACCTTAAAACTTTACCTTTACTAAATTCAATAAACAAACTCACTATGCTCCAGATATTTTGGATTGAAGTTCTCAACAGCTTCAGCTACCCATTGCATCCAAAATATTGGAAGCATACCTTTTTTATTCACCATAGTTCAGAATTGGTCCACCTCCCATTCACAGTAATCAACCCAGCCAACCTCACAGCAGATTTTTTTTTCTCTCTTCTCTTTGTGTGTCTATGCACAGCTTACCTAGTGTTGGCACACTCCATTTGACCTTTGTCCTTCAGATGTGACATTTCACAGTATCGATCTCCAAGCATTCAGAGCAATTGTGACCTACCGGCTTGCCTTGTTTATTTTTATTTGCACTGCAGCTATAATTACTTGCCCAAATGTTAATCTATTAATGAGTTCCTAAAGGACTTAATGGCATTTCTCTGCCAACGGGAATGTTTTTCCGTCCTTTTTGGAATACTGGAAATTTTATCCACCCAGTTTGTTTCCATGCTTCTTCTTCTTTGCAATCAGATGGATAGGCTGCAGGGCAGGGCATTAAATTCCTAATGAAAAGAAGGAAGCAGAAAACTACAGAAGAAATGTGCCAGTCCAGGATTTGGTCTGAGGGTCAAAAGCAGACCACAAAACTTCTGATTTTATGGGGGAAAAGAGTGAGCACGGAAACTGTTCTAGCACATTTTTTATTTATCTCGTGGACGAGATGGCATCATGACTCTTCAGTTCTTTTGACCATCTCAAGATGGACTTCTTGAAGGGAATTGAAAAGATATGAAGATAAGCCACCCAAAGCTGAGATGAAGAGAAATCAAATCAAATCAAATCGAGCCATAAATATTGTATGTGTGCTCAATATTCACAGGCTTAATATTGCTCAGTATTGTTGGCACAGTATTCACAGGCTTAGCCTACGACTTTATATTTAGTAGGATGTATAAAGCTAATATGTGCAGGGATCATTTCTTATTCTAAATTGACAAACAGCCATGTAGGCAGAGGGACAAATTATTGGTTCATTTTTTCCAAGTATTATTTAATCCAATCAGCAAAAAGGTTTCCATTATTTGCTACATATTGAACTGGGGAGGAGACTAAACACAGGATCACTTACATGTACAATATGCTGAACTATGGCCCATCCAGAGAGTCTTTTATAGAAACTGACTCCTATACGGTATTTTATGTGTTTTGAAAAATTACTCTACTTTCAGCATCAATTAGTCTTTAATACCAGCTGCTCACTTATTAATTTCCCTGCATTGTGACCATTTCTCACCAAGTTGTTAACTGCCACCTGCTCAAATAAACAACAACAGCAACAAAACAAGTTAACAGAACATCAGATGATCCTGGTAAACAGTCAATCACAAACAAAATACAAATAATTTGGAAAGGTGGTTCCTGATCATTACTTTACAATATTCAGACTCTTACTGTGTTACTAGGGAAATGGGGAACACTTCCGTCAATCCATGAATATACAAAAAAAAAAAAAAAAATGCAGAAGGACTGGAATAGGCTATATATCAGGAGTGTCCAACCTTGACAACATTAAGGTTTGCGGATTTCAATTCCCAGAATTCCCCAGTTGGCCATGCTGGCTGTGGAATTCTGGGAGTTGAAGTCCACAGTCTTAAAATTGCCAAGACTGGACACCCGTTATATATATGTGGTCTCTTGGATACTGCTGCCCCAAAGAAGAGGGAGTCAGGCTATTCTCCAAAGCACCTGAAGGGCAGAACAAGAAGCAATGGGTGGAAACTAATCAAGGAGAGAAGCAACCTAGAACTAAGGAGAAACTTCCTGACAGTTAGAACAATTAACCAGTGGAACAACCTGCCTCCAGAAGCGGTGAATGCTCCAACACCAGAAGTTTTTAAGAAGATACTGGACAGTCATTTGTCTGAAATGATATAGGCTTTCCTGCCTGAGCAGGGGGTTGGACTAGATGACCTCCAAGGTCCCTTCCAACTTATTATTATTATTATTATTATTATTAATAATAACAATAATAATAATAATAATTATCATCATCATCATCATCATCACCACCACCACCACCACCACCACCTAGTTGGGTAACTCCTCTAGAACAGGACAAAAACACTCCACATTTGTTTCCTCTCAACCAACAGCGCCTTTTCTCTCCATCTAGCTCACCACAATCTCCTTTCCGCGATAAAAACAGTCCTCTTTTTTTTTTTTTTTTTGATGCCATGTCTGACTGATTCAATGACACTCCCAGGGCTAAAAGGCAGACATGCTATTTCAAGTCTCTGTTAGAACTATATTTGCTATTAAGTACAAGTGCTAATGGCTGAGCCAATAACAAAAGGCTAACAGACAATTGAGCTAGTAATATGACCAGGTTATTTTCACAGAAAATGAATGAAGAGTGGCAAACAAATAGAAATTGAAAAAAAAATATGAAACTATTACTTATGAAAACAGTGCTTTTGTATGTCCCAGAAAGAACCCCTGGGCCTTTTTTTTAAAAAGGGGGTGTGTGTTAAGCTTGTCATCTTAAACCTTCCAAAAATAAGACTTAATCCCTCTCCCCAAATATAGGGTTTCCTGCCTGAACAGGGGGTTGGACTAGATGACCTCTAAGGTCCCTTCCAACTTTTTATATTACTATTATTACTATTATTATTATTACTATTTCACATAAAATACTAAAAAGAGACTAGCAGTTTAGTTTATTGTTTAGCAAAAAAAAACCCATGTCTTTTCTAGAGGTGTGGAAGAGAGGAAGGGTCAACCTTGATCAAGACCATTAATTTCATCTGGTTTTTTTAAAAAATCAGCTTTTCCCCAAAGCAGGCCATTCTTTTTAACTCTTCCATCCACTTTAGATTTTTTGTAAAATAAACCCACCTGACGTTTTGTTTAAAATTCTGGTCTTGCGGATAAATCCCAGTCAACCAGATTCAAACAGTGAGAAAGTTTTCTCGGCGGGACTGTAAATCCCCGAAGGCAGAGATTTATAACAGAATTTTTGACAGCCTCCTTAACTATGGAAGTGGTAGTAGGAGCTGCTAATCACATTAAGCTAGATTATAGATGGCAAGGAAGACTTTTGAAACATGGCTACTGCAGCTTTGCTTAATTTATAGTGTTCTTGTCCGGAGGAAATCAAATTTCATAGTTATGACATTTCTTTCCAGAGTACTGAATGTTAACTTTGCTGAGCAGGCACCTTTTGAGAGACAGGTGATGGGATGCTGCGGAGAGGAGATGGAGATAGACAACTCTGTTCTGGATGGCGAATGTGATGGATGGGGTGGAGGACAAGATCATTTCATTCAAAGAGTTTCAAGGAGCCGAGATCTTCTGGTGGCAGAGAAGCAGGACTGTGAAAGCTTTACAGAAAGGGCTTTGAAAGGTAAATGGCCGAATGAAGATATTCATGGAAACGTTCTGCCCGGGTGCCATCAGACAAAGTTCTTGATGCTCTGGTGGAGCCTGTGGGAATGCTTGGTTTGCATTCCTTTATTGCTGGTCTCAGGGATCATCGTTTTCACTTCCAAAACTGGCTGGATCAACCTTTCCCAATGTGAGCATCTGGAGTTCTCAACAGTGAGGAATGCTGGGATTTGAAGGTCTCATACCTGGAGGCATCCATGCCAGGAAAGCTAGGAAAGAGGACTAAGGGCATGAGAGAACCACTAGGTCATGAGACCCAACAGGTCTCATGAAGTCCGGAAGGCAGCTGCCCTCCAGAACAACACTCTCCCTGAGATCCATACAACCCCGAATTTGTTGTCCTTCCAGAGGGGTTAAAACAGCTGGGTCTTCTCACAGGGAGTGTTGTATGCAAGCTCACTACTTCGTTAAGTTCTCTGTTGTTGATTGTTGTGGTTTTCTCCTTGATGTGTCCATTTATGTTCTTGTTCATAACATAGACTATTCATTTCTATATGATGGAACCAAACACGCTCCAATCCCTCCTAACATGAGAGAGAAAGGAACTTCTAACACCAGGAAGACATAAAATACATAAAGGAGCCTGGGGTGGTGGTGGCGTCAAGAAAGGAATCAGCCTGGAGTATTACATTCCCACAAACAATTTAAGTCCAACCCCTCTTGAATTCCATTGATTCTTATTTAATGCCAATTCAATGCTAGTTGAGCAGTTTCTTGTGTATACATTTGAGCAATAAATCTTCCTAACTGGACCTTAATGTTGTGGAACATGTGTGGTCCTGTTTCTTCACTTCTGAGAGTAATCTCACTAAATTGGTGCTAGATAAGAGTTAAAAGAATTCATCTGTAAACAGGATCTACGATCAGGCAATTGGAAAAGAAGCTTTATTTTGATGTGGTTATTATTTGCAGAAACGTGAGAAAAAAATGTCCATATTTAATTATCACTTATTCAAATAATAACTGTATTAATTTAAGGTTGGTAAAAGAGAATATTATTGGAAGAAGAGAAAATAATCAAGCAAAGCCATTATATGGACTATAGAATTATAGAAATTAATTGTAATTGATTGTTTTTTTTTAAATACTAACCCAGACCACATGCTGTTTACCAAATATTAAGGTGATTAGGTTAAAAATCAATAAAACATTTTTTTTAAAAAAAAGAATTAAATCAATGGCAGGCAGACTTGTACTGCTTTGGGAACATAATGACTCTATTCCTCTTTTGACTCCACCCTTCAGGCTTTGCCTCTTCTCCTACAATATACAATATATATTTCTCCAGCTGGCTTTTTAAGTGCAGGAAGAAACGTGCTTAAGTGAAATGTCACTTCTGCATCTAACCCAGGGGTAGGCAATCTTGGCTCTTTTATGACTCGTGGACTTCAACTCCCAGAATTCCTGAGCCAGCATGGCTCAGCATGGAAGCCTCTCCGTTTCCCCTCAGCATGGTTGGCTCAGGAACTCTGGGAATTGAAGTCCACAAATCATAAAAGAGCCAAGGTTGCCTGCCCTGATCTAACCCAATACTGACTACGTTCAGAGTCTTACCTTTATTACTGATGCTCCAGCTCTTGACAGTGGGCTATGCATCTGCGCTGCTGCAGCCATGTTGGCGATAGTATTGAGATGGTTCATTTGATTCATGGCCATCGCTACAGAAGCAGGAGGTAGGCCAACCGGAAGAAGAGGATGGGGCATCATCATAAATGGCAGATCTATCCCTGAAACGTGAAAACAGCAGGCCATAAATAATTTAAAAGCAGTGATTTTCCAGGGTTTTTCACCCATGAAAGAGGGTGAAAGTTTAATGGAATGAGTCAATTAGGACCACAATGAGCATGAAATGTTTTCTATGTTTTCCAGTTAAAATTTAGCTTCAAAAATAAGAATACTAAATTTGTATTAATACATAGAAGAAAAATAAGGTAGGTTTTTTTTAATACGTAGAAATAAACCGGGGTGGTGGTGTTACCCCCTGGATTGAAATTAGATATATGTAATTGAAGATCGCGTTAACAACGACGACACTTCTCTATCCAAGCAATCTACAACAAGGGAGAATTAGTCTTGGTTTTTCGTTTTTTGCTCGAATTTTCTGGTGTTTCAAACGCATCATAGAAATATTGTGATTGGCATCTTTCCAAAGACTCTTGTGACTTGACTTGATTATAAGACTCAAAAGATTCAATCTGAAGATAGATGACTTGATGACTTGACTTCTGACAAGCAAAGTCAATCGGGAAAGCCAGATTCACTTAAAGACCGCATGATTCACTTAATAACTGCAGTGGTTTGCTTAACAACCAGGGCAAAGAGACTCATTTAACAACTGCCTTGCCAAACAGCGGATGATCTGCTCTCAAGCGTGTTCATCAGTCGAGGACTGCTTATTTTTGGAAGACAATACGATGCAAGAAGAGATGCTGGAAAAAATCCTTGTATCTACATCTACATTTATATTTATATTTACACAATACACCAAGAGCTATGATGGGTTCGGAAAGAATGTGTGTAGAATCTCTCGTTTCACTCACTTCATCTAGCCCACATCAACTGCTAATGGCAGTCTTTGTCCACCTATTAACTCTTCCCCTGCAGTCTCATAATCTTCCCTTCTACCCTGTTGTGTTTTAGTGCTTCCAGACACCATCTGTCTAAACTGAGGTTGCTCATCTCTTTACAATCCGATTGACATGCAAACAACATGCAAATGACAAACAGAATGTAACAACCCTTCCTTGTTTTAAGGGACAATATATCAAAAGGGTTTACAAAAGGGAGGTGGGGAGGAGGACACAGAAGAAAATGTGTCTGCCTTCTGCAGATCAGGAATTATTATTTCTTACTCGATAAACACACCAGTCACAATGTGGAAGACAACTGAAAAGGCATCAACAGCAACAGCAACAACAGCAATAAAATGGTATACAGCAGACTGGGCAGTAAAATAAAATATTTTTGTGGACTTGGGACACCAAGTGGTTTCTGCTGCGCGAGACAATAATGATGAGTGCACCAAACAGATACAAGCAAATATGTACGTATGTACGTATGTATGCATGGTGCAGTGGTTAGAATGCAGTATTGCAGGCAAACTCTGCCCACTGCCAGGAGTTCGATACTAACTGGTTCAAGGTTGACTCAGCTTTCCATCCATCCGAGGTTGGTAAAATGAGGACCCAGATTGTTGGGGGTGATAAACTGACACTGTAAACCGCTTAGAGAAGGGCTGTAAAGCACTGTGAAGCGGTATATAAGTTCTAAGTGCTATTGCTATTTATTTATTAAACTTACATGTTGCCCACCTCACCCATGGCGACTCTAAGCAGCGCACGCTCATTCAATAAAAATGCCATGTAAAACATTAAAACAATTTAAAAAGAAAATCCATTAACAATCACAGTAACCATAAAGTTAGCTTTTATAATACAAGGCGACTAAAAGAAAAGAACCGGTTATCCCTCACCACGTATGGACAACGGGACAAAGTGTTAATGTGAGCCACTGTGAAATGCTCAAAAGCTCCCTAGAAATCTGGAACGTTCCTTCCATGATAAGCATCACAACGATGGTCTCAAAAATATATGCATTGAGAATAAGCTGTAACCACCTGTCTTCACAGGTAAGGCGGTTTCAAATTAAGATGGCAGAATGCATATCTTATTCCTCACACATTTCATTGGCCGCCATTATTTCACAACATTTTTTCCTGTCTCCCCTGGCATTCTTGGGTACATTTTTCTTGTCTGTAAAATATATTATTTTTGATGTTGGGGAATGGGGAGGGGGGAGGGGAAAGAGGAAAGTCTGTTTTTTTCAGTGATGATGATCCATTCAACAAGGCTGGGAAGAATGAATAAAGGATCCCTTCTAAGTTCATTGCTTCTAAGTTCATTGCTTCCAACTTATAAACTATTGGAAATTCCATCAGACATTATTGTGATCTTCCATTGTTTTTGGTAAACACAGATACAAGAAGGAAAGAAAGGGACTATTCAAAACCAGCTAGGTTCAGTGGCAAATGTTTGCACTGATTTTCCATTAAGGAACATCACAGCCCAATGTAGGTGTCACTAAAATAACGGAATAACAGAGTTGGAAGGGACCTTGGAGGTCATCTAGTCCAACCCCCTGCTGAAGCAGGAGATCCTGTTTCATTCCAAACAAATGGCTGTCCAGTCTCTTCTTGAAAACCTTCAGAGATGGAGCGCCCACAACTTCTGAGGGAAAGCCATTCCACTAATTAATTGCTCTTACTATCAGGAAATCTTTCCTTATTTCTAGGTTGGATTTCTCCTTGGTTAGTTTCCATCCATTGCTTCTTGCCCTGCTCTCAAGTGCTTTGGACAATAGGTTGATCCCCTAATTAATTGTTCTCACCGACAGGAAATTTCTCCTTAATTCTAGATTGGATCTCTCTTTGATAAGTTCCCATTAGCATAAACTGCACACAAAAAATACCTAAATTCCAAATATAAATGCAGGGGAAGAAGAGAGAAGATGGAGGAAGAACATTGAATACTAGAATACATTTTTTAAAATGGGATTGAAATGACTGGCTTTTAATGACCTCATTGCCCCACAGAGATTACGACATCACTGGAGAACTGCCTGTTGAATGCCAACATCTCAGTGGCTCCATTAACACAATATGCTTAGCTGGTTCCCAAATTAACCAATTTGTTGGATTAGCACAATACATTAACTACCAAATTGTTCTGAAATAACCAAATGGGTTGCATTAACAAAGTATGAGAAGCAACCCACTTCCCCAAAATATGAGTCACTGTTAACCAGGGTAAAGACAGCTACTAAGAAGTTACTCAGAAGATGCTTCAGACAACCTTAGTAAATCCTGAGATACACGGAGGTGATTTGCACTCTCCAAACCAGGTGCTAAGCAAAACTTGTACTACCTGAGGTGTTCCAAAAAAAAGAGGATAATTGAAAAAAAAGGGGGTTATGTATAGAAAGAAGGAGCTTGGCCATCTCATATTTCCAAATATACCATCTCATCAGGCCCTCTAGAAGCCAACAATTTACCAATCCACACTTTCACAAGAAAAGTGAGGAAAGAAAATACATGCAAGTCATTAATAGTTTTCTTCTTCTTCTTGTGCCATATCCGTTATCGGACGTTGGCAATCCTGTTTTTATCAGCACCTGCAAGAAAAAGTGCTGCTGAGTTTTGTCCAAACCAGTCCCTTAAATTTTGAAGCCATGATGTTCGTCTTCTGCCTGGACCTTGTTTGCCTTCCATCTTTCCCTGGAGGATTAAATGGAGTATGCCGTATTTTCTTGGGTGTCGCATCACATGTCCAAAATATTCTAATTTTCGTTTTTTAATTGTTTTGATGATTTCCCTGGGCTTTCCCAGGCGGCTTATCATCTCCTCATTTCTGATCTTGTCGACCTAACTTATACGTAACAGCCACCTGTCAATCCACATTTCAAATGCTTCTAGTCTCTTCAGGTGGCCTTCTGTCAGAGACCAACAATCTACTCCATAGAGCAGGATAGAAAAAATATAGCATCTGGCAAGCCTGATTTTTAGTCTTAGGCTTATCGTGACTGCAGAAGACCTTTTTCATTTTGAAGAATGTTGTTCGAGCTTTTTCTATCCTTGCCTTAACTTCAATGGTCATGTCCCAGCTTTCATGTAAATTAGAATTGAGGTGTGTGATCCTTTCAACTTTTTCTAGTGATATTACTTCTGAATTTATTGGTGGTAAATTAACGGATTAATAGTTTTATTTATTTATATTTTACTTTTCTTACTGTTATAAATAGCTCAAGCTGGCAAACATAACTCCTATTTCCTCTTTCTATTATCCCTACATCAACAACCCTCTGAATTGGGCTGAGAGATTGTGACTAGCCTAAAGTCACCTAGTTGGTTTGCATGCCTAAAGTAGGACTAGAACTCACAATCTCTTGGTGATAGGCCCAAAGTCACTCACTCGGCTTTCATGTCTTAGGCTTGACTAGAACTCACCATCTCCTGGTTGACTGGCCCGAAGTTGCCCAACCAGCTTTCATACCTAAGGCAGGACTAGAACTCATTGTCTCCTGGTTTCTAGCCTTGCGCCTTAATCACTAGACCATACTGTTCCATTTGCAGCTTTCTTCACATATTCTGTTTAAGGTGGGGCAATCAATGGTTCTGCTTCCCCCAAGAGGTGAAAAAAATATAGTACTCAGGTTACTTGGGCACCTGGCAGACTATTCCATGTCCCTCATCCTTTTCTTGGAGGTGAAATGAAATTAGAAATGGCAGCTAAAGAGAGTATCTCCCTCTGCTTAACGGCAGGACTGGCCCCAGGACATTTCTGAACATGCCAAGATGCTGGGATGTTTGTGTTTGCATACGTACTGTTTGTGAGCAGATGGTTCTGCTGCAAAGGACTAAGTGGGTGGGCACTCGCCAAATTGGCCTGCCCTGACAGTGCCGCGTGGCTAATCCCGTGATGAGATCCTGTCGGGATCGGTGACTGAAGCTTCTCTTTATCCCACGAGGATTCACTTCCACCTTAAAAAAAAAAACAGCATACAGAACATTGATTGTTCCCCTCTTTTAAAGAAAGCTAGCTGAACCTGCCACAACATACACCTCTAAACAGAAACAATCCCTGGCTCCATTTGTTGAGAAAGGTATAGTTTATTAGCGATTAAGTGTATGGCAGTGTTGCAAAGCCAGAACTGAGAATCTTGCATCAAAATCCCTAAGTTCAACTTTTCCCTCCCTTAACTGCCTCTCATTGCCCACCCCCATTTAACCAATCAGGTTCAGATAAGATGTTTTCATAACGGTCAGTCCAAGCATAGTTGGGTATGTGGCTCCCTCCTTCCAGCTGGGTAACCTTGAGGCAGCATCTCAAGGAGATACAGCACTTACTTTCATTTCCCCAAGCATTCCACCCTTCATTCTCCCTCCCCACAGTTCATGGCGGTCTGTCACCACATAGCAGCAAATCACAAGCAAGCATATGATGGCAGCTGACATATCTGGGGTTTCCCAACAATTTTTCCCCTCTCACCTACCTACTAGACTCATGATTTCTCCTATTTCTTTATTTTGTTTTTACTGAAGTACAGATGACCCACTCCAAATAGGATCTCAGGGATCCCCAAACTCTTCAAGTCTTCCACCCCTTCCTGAAGATTGTTCATCGACCCCAAACATTTATTCAATGAAAATAATTTAATAAATACTACATACTTAACTAATACTACTTCGATCTGAAAAAGGAAGCTGAAAGATTATGATGTAAATTGGTCCCAGTGGTTATTAAGAAATCATGGAGAACAATTAAAAAATCTGTGCATTTTCACCAGTCCATTACAAAAGGCCACATTGCTTAGATCAGCATATTTACTGCATTGCTACATTACGACATCACTATGCCTATGAAGGCCAACATCAGCTGAAGAACTGGCAGCTGTTACTTCACGTTGTTGTGAACAGATTAATAATAGGAATAAAAATAAAAACAATAACAACCACCACCACAATGGAACACCCATCAACCTTTGGGGGGTCAACCACTTTGGATATGCAGTCCACCTAGATTGGAACACTGACCACCGAGACATGGAAATTATTAATAAAATAAGGCAATTAACCAGAATAAAACACAAAGGAAAAATCATTAGACATAACCTATATGAGAATAATGTACATTTAAAGCTACTGATCAATATGCTGATGACACTCAGCTGTGTATCAAAGCCTGGTCACCATGTGTCCAGCCAAAGCAACAATCTGGATCTAAACAGCTAGCCCCAGTACATACATGATGTCCAATCAGGAGCTCTGGTTTGTAATTCCTTTCAACTGTAATTAATTTGCAAACCTCCTAATTGAGTGAAAAGAGCCTGCTGTGTTATTTACAGCATGAGAATTTAACAAAATCTGCAAATCTCTAAACAGGAAGGCGGGAAGGATATCCACCAACTGGGACACATTTATTTTTCAACAGAAAAGTATGAAAATAAGTTAAGTGTGTGAGTGCTGTTGACATAAAACATTTTCTATACATTACACTTTCTTAGCAAATTTTCACTAATCCAGGCAGAGCATCTAGATTTTTTTGTGTGTAGTGTGTGTGGGTGAGCTGCAGATAAAATGCAGAAACTAACAGATCTCAATAATCTTCTAGCATCTAATGCAGTTGGTTGGATACATTTTCTATTGCAAGGCATCTGTTGCATCACAAGTTGCAATCAGTCATAGTTGAATTGTATTTTATTGAACTAAGAGCTACCCCTGGCTGGGCTCCCAGAACAGACTAAACCCTGAATCATGGTTTATATATCACCAATGACTGGTTCTGCAGTGTACATTAAGCCAAAGAAAAATCAATCTTATTAACGTTTGATGCAATAAGTGAACTCTGCCAATATCTATATACAGGCAAAATATATAATCCTATTGACATCCTTATGTTGACCTATGACCATTATAAAGATTTCTTTTTACATATACCTCAGATCACTGTTAGGAGATTTCTACTGTAAGGAATGTCTTTCTCTCTAATTCCTCCTCCTTACATTATTTTGCAAACTCGTGAAAGGGGAAGTATGGTTGAGAGAGTCTGTCTGGATTATTGAAAACGCCAAGAATTCATTAACTTGATTTCCAATTAGAATCCATAATATTTCATTGACACGTAAGAGACAATGACAGGGGAAAAAATGTATCTTAATTGAAGATAACAGCAGAGAAGCATTCAACATTCTTTATGATGAGCACTTGGCTAATAAACGTGATTCATGTTATCAAACAGTAAAATCCAAAAGATCAATGATAGAGCCAAAAAAAAAGGAAATGCTCCATCATTTTTATGCTTACAGCCAAGCTATGAATTATCTTTACTAGTGCAAATGTGTAATTTGCAAAAACGATGAGCTTTGCATAGGCAAAGAAAGATGCGTTTATGCCAAGTTAAATTATATCATATGTTCTAATATAATGTGGCGTAATTACAGTGGAGTTCAGCGGTATAGCTGTATGTGTGTCAGCTGGGCCATCGTAAATTCCACACACTTTACAAGGATGACTTCAAATCTATATTGACTGAAAGGGGGTACAATTCATATCCTGTCTCTAGATATATCTTCTAGAAATGACAGCGTTCCAGAAAGTAGAGCAGCTGTAACAGGTCATGACATACCAAAGCAGTTTTGAAAAACTGGAAGTTAATTTGCTTGGAAACTCATGTTCTTTAACAGTAATTCCCACCTATGTTCCCACATTTGTGTGTGAGGAGGGCTAACTTTTTTTCATTTCAATAAAAATAATCCTCAAATAAGAAAGACATCCTAAGAGGGGTTTCCAAATCCCGGTTCGTGGACCAGTACCGGGCCACAGCATGCCAGCAACCAGTCCACACAAACAAACAAAAGGGATGCAGGCAACACACAAAACCACACACTCTACGGTCCGTGGAAAAACCTCTCTCCATGGAACTGGTCCCTGGTGCCCAAAAGGTTGGGGACCTCTGTCCTAAGAAATTATTGCTTCATCTAGTACAGTATCTAGATCAATGTTTGCCAATAGCAGTATCATCTAAGAGAGTTCCCAAAATTGTCATCAATGGCCAGGCTGCTTGTGGAATTCTGGGATATGAGGTCCGTGGAAAAACCTCTCTCCACGGAACTGGTCCCTGGTCTCCAAAAGGTTGGGGGCCACTGCAATAAACCGCTTGGTGTTACATATTTAATGGTTTCACCAGAGAGATGGCAAGGAGCTTCAGCGAGTAAAACACTTTCCACTTAGTCATTAATTCTGGTTTCCAAAAGGTCTTTTAAAAAAAATGATATCCAGGTTATTTGACATGAATATTTTGTTTTGTAATTATATCCTGTTTCCTGAATGTTTTTTTCCCTCTACCTAAAAATGTTAGCTAGATGCTACACACACAGTCAACCCTAAATAAGGTTCCTTATCACTTTCCTACATAAGTAGATAAATGGAAAAAAATGCCTTCTGCCCTGTGACAATTTTTTCTTTCAATCTTTTCCACTGAAGTTGGAAGTGTCAGAAGCAACTGGGAGGGCTCAAAAGATGCATCCCCATTGCATTTTATTAATATTATTTTTTTTCTCGGTTATTAAAACTTTTCTTGGATGGGCAAAGAGCATAAATATTCCTCCCTGCTCACATATTACAAGGCCTTTGGGCAAGAGATCCTTCAGCGGTATTATGGGAAGAAAAAAGCCTATATTCAAGCATAATGTCCAAACAAATTATTTACACTCGGATATTTTCTTTGCATCTTTTATCTTATGCAGCAAATATTTTATACAAATGGCAGGATTGCAGAAGATGACAGTTGGAATCAAGAGGGGGCTGAAACATTAACCATTTCAGATATGTCGATGATATCCCTTGGGTAGCTGAAAATAAAAAAGTCTTAGAAGAGTTTGGAATGAAATTAAAAATAGAGAGTAAACTCATATTAAATAGGAGTGCTAAATATTAAGAAGACAAAGATAGTTTTAACCAGTGTTAAATGGTGTCCCCCCCCCAGATCCAATATCAAGAGAATATTGGAAAACCGATCCCATCAAGGAAAACCATAACGAAGACACAAAGGCCAAGGACATGCCAATCAAACAAGAACAGAAAATCAAGACGGTGGTCTTTTCATTAATATTGTACAACTGCTGAAATACAAACACTGGGAATAAGTGAAAGAAAATAGATGTCCTCAAATTTCAATTTTTGGAAATGCTAAGAGCATCATGGTCTGCAAGGATAACTAATCAGTCTTCGATCAAATAAAAGCTGATCATTCCACACAAGTGATGACCAACTCACATATGTTGGGCTTGGCGTACTAGAACAGAGGTCCCCAACCTTTTCCTGGAGGCTAAAGCATATAAGGAAAGGCTGCTGGAATTGGGGATATCTAGTCTAATGGAGAGAAGGATGAGGGGGGACATGATAGCAGTGTTCCAATATCTCAGGGGCTACCCCAAAGAAGAAGGAGTCAAGCTATTCTCCAAAGCGCCTGAAGGCAGGACAAGAAGCAATGGATGGAAACTAACCAAGGAGAGAAGCAACCTAGAACTAAGGAGAAACTTCCTGACAGTGAGAACAATTAACCAATGGAACAACCTGCCTCCAGAAGTTGTGAATGCTCCAACACTGGAAGTTTTTAAGAGACTGGACAGCCATTTGTCTGAAATGGTATAGGGTTTCCTGCCTGAGCAGGGGGTTGGACTAAATGACCTCCAAGGTCCCTCCCAACTTTATTTATTTATTTATTTATTATTGCATTTACAAGTCAGTAGATGGTTTTATTTACTTTATATTTTTTGTTCCTCAATGCCACTCTCTGACATTTTTGAACATAACTTAATCTACAAATCCTGAATCCTCTATCAAGCCAAGACCCAGTTTAAACCAGCCAGTCCCTGGACATTAGCTTCTTAATTAAGATGAGGAAAGAATTCCCTTTATAACAATTTATGACGCAGGGTTTCCATTCTGTTTACTGAATCCTCAGAGTTAATGGGGATGCA